TAAAAAGATATTGAGCTGACGAATTTATTTATATATTGCTTTTTCTAAGGTTTTGTCAAAATGAAATAGCGGAACTTTAAGAATTTTTACAAAATTTATCTGAAGATAAACGATTTAATTTGACTGGCAATGAACGAACCTATTTATCTCTTTAAAGTGGATTATTTTCTGTCATGGCAGATAACTTCCAGGATCTAGCATAAGCTTGCGAATGCAAAAAAGAGTGGCCATATGTATGACCATTTTTTTGAAATAATAATTATTCAGTGTGTTCCATTTCTAAATAACGCGTAACCGGAACGGATAGTTTAAAAAAGACATTGCTACATTACTTTAATTAATAAAGACTGCTTAATGTTATGTTCACGGTAACATAAAAGGAAATTTTGCTTATTCATCATCTGGGCGATGCGGGAATACAAAATGCGAACAAAATATTTTTGTCCCTGCATTTCATGAAGAAAACCATTACAGTTAACTAAACATAATTTTTGAAACATAAATCGTTCCTTGTTTTGAACTTGACCTCACTTGGCCTCACTTCAATGTGAATTTTTTTGAAAGTGTTCGGTTGTGGAAAAGATAAGTTTTACACGTTCCTTACTTATTAATTACTTACTTACTTCTATAGGTTAATGCACGTTAAAAATACTTTTGTTCTGTCGTACAGAATAGTATGAAATATTTCTTTGATGAAAGAATGCCCCCAATTTCACCATAGTCAATGCCCATTACGCTAACTAAACTTAACCAAAAAGGGGATTTTCCTCAGAGGCTTTCGGAGGATAAAATCTACTCAGTAGATGAAAATAGCGTAACAAAATATATGCTAAACTGCCAAGTCAAATTTTTCATGAAATTTGCACTGTTTGTGGCCATTCTGTAATACTTCCAGTGCTATGCATTTTCTAGATTAGCAAACGCCCTCCTGCAGTACGTTTACACTGGTCAGTTAGAAATGACCCAATCGAATGCATGGGGCGTAGTTGCCTTCTCGAGGATGGTTACACTTCCTATCTTGGAGAATTGGGGCATTCAATTCCTTCTCAGCACGTAAGTATTCCCCGGTTATCGTCTGTTTATGTCGTTGTCAATAGCGTCAATACAGAGGATTTGACGAAAACCTGGGATTTTGCCAAGTCCTTTAATATTGGGATACTTATGGATGCCTGCTTGCCTGGAATGAAAGCTCAGTTTGAGAGCTTCATATACAGTGACAGCTTTGTTAGCCTGTCGGCGGACACACTTCTCACACTGCTTCAAAGTGATAATTTAGGTGTGAGCTCAGAGGAGCAGGTTGTTGCTGCAATTTCGCGATGGTTATGCCCTTGTGGTGAGATCAACGAGCAAAGGCTGCAGCAACATGTGCCAGAAATGCTAAGAGAGGTCCAGTGGCAGCAGACGTCTTCGCAGTTTCTCAGCCGGTTGCTGGACGCTCATCCAATTTTTCAGAAAAGTGCCAAGTGCTCGTAAGTGAATATAGTTTCACCTCTACGTTTATATTAAAGGCGGCTTATGGCCCAAGTTTTGAATTGGATTGCTGCTGAGGACAAGAACGAGACCCCGTGTCCCTACCACCAGCATCAGAGACCGCCTCCGTCAATCTTTATTTTTGGCAAGGATATAAATGGGAAAGCCAGTTCTGTACTTCGTTTTAATCCCCAAATGAAAAACGAGGAACGCGTTCCTGATATGGAGCATCATGGTGGCGCCACCTACAGTGTCGTCGGGGGTGAGTTAATAGGTTTATGCATATGTTAGCCACTGTTGCTTTCGGCATTTTAAAATAGGAGTAATTAGTTACCAGCAGAGTTGTTATATACTTATTTGCATACGATTGCCATCAAGTAATGGACTCAGTTGTATTACAGAGTGTTTCATGTCCTCCTACCCATCATCCACAATATTGACATTGTGTTTGAAATTACAATCCATGTGGTTCATTTGCTGTTGTGGAATGTCTTCACGTCTTCCTTAGTTATAAAGATGCATACGTATGTAGTAACTGACCCGCAGTAAAATCGATCACATTTTGTGAACAAAACATGGCCTCTGCGAACAAATTCAACCAGCGCATTTTCTTGGTTCTCTAATTCAAAATGTAGGCAATAACGTCAAAGTATTCAGTAATTTTTTTCGTCCTGCACATTTTGAATCACATTCAATTACGGCCTAACTCTGTATTTGGGTCAAAATTTAATGCTGACCGTACATTTATATCCGCTCATGAGAAAATTAGCAAATTCGAAATATACTTATGTCGTAATAAGGGAGATCCTTGAGACTTCCGACTGCTGGATATGAAAGAGTATTGACCAAACTGAGATAGGCGTATGCGTTATTTGCACTTTTAATGCTTCCGTCGCATGTTTTTAGTTATTGAAACTGTAGATGGTACATGATCCACTCTGAATTTGTGTTCAATTCGCGTTCGTTTAAATATGCGAATGTTATACAAGTCAAACTATGGGTTTCTTAGTGAGCGTTGACGGGTGATCTGTTTAAGGTCCTTAATCCAAGTGTCCATACGTCAATACGCATTGCCAATAGTCAAGTATTTGCTCTCCATGAATCCGAGGACTCGCCGCAGAGTGTGACATTGACAACAAATTAAGCATGTGCGAACGTTCCGTTTATCAAGGCATTACCACTGTAACAGTTCCAGTCTCGTATTAATATTAACACGGGTGAGATACGAAATCCACATAATTTATCCCGCTCCCCATCCCGCAAAGAAGATGAAGGAAAACAGTGAAGCTACAACTCGCTCGCTAGCATCGGCGGCGTCGTCGGGGTTGATTGGATCATTGTACGCAGGCCTAAATAGGCCGGATTTAAATCAATATTTCTGTTAAATCTTCAAGATGACGCTTAACGAGGTAGAAGAGGCCTTCCTAGTGTTCCCTGTCTTTGCTGGTAATGTCCTGTAGCCTATACCCTAGCCGCCTCGCGATGGAGGCTCGAGAGCGAGAGCTCCAATGGCAATATGTAGGTACGAGTGGGTTCTCTGATAGATCGGTGTACGCATCTATGCAATTGCATATTCCCGATGTGATACCAGCGAGACCGTGGGCTCGTAGCTCAACTGTAAGGACGTTCGCCCTGACGGAAGAGATCGCGAGTTCAAATGTCGGTGTGGCAG